TGTGGCAAATGGTGAAATATTCAGCCGAAAACCATAATCGAGCAGCAGAAAAAAAGTCTGGAGCGAGCGAGAAACTCGTAAGGGACTGGCGAAAAGCGGAGGATACTCTAACTGCAATGACGAAAACAAAAAAGCTAATCGCGGGCTAAAAGCTGGATTTAGTTAGAGTTGATGGAGTTGCTCAGAAGTGACACTGAGGATGAAGAATTTAATGGATTTAGTGATTTGGAGTGAGATCAAGAGTTTTGTAAACTTGTTATGTTCTGTTGTTTATGCTATAGTTATCTGAATAACTGTTAAAATGTTACGTTAACATTCCAGATGCCTATTCAGCCTGTTCTTGGTCTCTGATTTTATAAAATAAGTTTCCCCCCAAAAATGTGACTTATAGTCCAGTGCGACTTATAAATGTATTTTTTTTTTTTTTACTTCATTCTGCATTTTATTTGGCTGGTGCGACTCATTCTCCAGAGCGACTTATAGTCCGGAAAATACGGTCTATGAAAAATTCTAAAGCTACATGGTAACTAATGTCCCCAAAACCTACAGACTGCGGTTCAATTGGTTTGACATTGGATATTGGATATTCGACACATATAAAGACATTTAACTTGTAATACATATCACTGATTTTTTTTCAAACAACTTGTAACATCTTCATAATCATCCAGGGTATATATCACAAGACAGTAATTATTTAAGAAAATCATACTGTGAGCTAATTTAGTGCATATTTAACTTGTGATGTACAGATGTAGACAAAATTGTTGATACCCCTCTGGTAAGGAAAGAAAAATCAACAATGGTCAGTGGTCAATGTTTTTTTTTTTTTTTAATAATTGCCATCTTGTGATATGTACCCTGGATGATTATGAAGATGTCACAAGTTGTTTGAAAAGAATTGGTGATATACATCACCTAAATGAGCTCATAGTATGATTTTTGAGCTGAATGTCTGATTTTTTAATGTGTCCAATATCAGTGTTATTTAAAAATGTTATCTAAACAAAAAAATCTAATCTAAAATGTTATTAAAACATTTAGCAGAATCTTGTGACCTTTTTGGACTGCGATCTTGTTATGGATATAAATTACCATGTAGCTGCTTAGTATGGAGTAAGAAAGCTGTCAAAAATATTCGTGCGCATAAAATAGAAATCTGTGCGTATTTGGAAAATCCGTGCATATTTGGCTGTAGTTGCGCATAAAATAAATATTTGTAAACTCTCAAATGAGTCCAGTCGTACATAAAATATATTGTGTGTATTTTATCCATCAGAATACGAATTGAAAAATTACGACGTCATGAATTACAATCACGAAATGAAAATTTACGATTACGCTTTCATCAGTACGAATACGAATTCACAGACGGAACTTTACTGTCAAAAATACGTCATCACTTCACAGACATTATTCATCGAGCAGAAGAAACATCGATCAAGATCAAGACTGCGCATGCTCAAGTTTGTAGCAGAGGGTAAAAACAGAGTAATAGCACAAGAAGCTACAACAGCGACCAACATGTGGGTTAATTAAAATCTATTGTAAAAATGTCTTGAATTCTGGAACCGAACGCTGCTGTATAATATTGTGTAGAAACACCTCCTTTGAACGGGAAATTGCACCTATATGTTAGATAACATAGCGGTAGCCAGTTGGCTAACATCCGACGTAACGTTATCCCAGGGCTAATTAGCAAATATCAGGTTCTCTGTAGGTTTAGATTAAAACATTCACGACTACAGCCACAGCGAGCATCAGCCAGTCTTCATCTCAGCTGCATTTCAGACAATGGGTTTTTCATGAGTTATAATGGGTTATAATGAGCAAATCCATCCACGTCACGGTGACGTTATACTTACCGGTAAATACTGTAAACATACCAAGGTGTTGCCTGTAAACACGAACATTAATTGATGCTGGAAGCTGCATTAAACTGTAATGTGTAACATTTCATTAGCTGTGACGTCTGTAACCTGGACAGTTTGGTAGTGTTTGGTGTAAACTGGGACATTTCAGCGTCCCGAGGAACTTTTGGTGGCATTTCATGCGAGAAATGAAACACCTCCTTTGAACGGGAAATTGCACCTATATGTTAGATAACATAGTGGTAGCCAGTTGGCTATCATCCGACGTAACGTTATCCCAGGGCTAATTCGCAAATATCAGGTTCTCTGTATGTTTAGATTAAAATATATAGGTGCAATTTCCCGTTCAAAGGAGGTGTTTCTACACAATATTATACAGCAGCGTTCGGTTCCCGAATTCAAGACATTTTTACAATAGACTTTAATTAACCCACTTGTTGGTCGCTGTTGTAGCTTCTTGTGCTATTACTCTGTTTTTACCCTCTGCTACAAACTTGAGCATGCGCAGTCTTGATCTTGATCGATGTTTCTTCTGCTCGATGAATAATGTCTGTGAAATGATGACGTATTTTTGACAGTAAAGTTCCGTCTGTGAATTCGTATTCGTACTGATGAAAGCGTAATCGTAAATTTTCATTTCGTGATTGTAATTCATGACGTCGTAATTTTTCAATTCGTATTCTGATGGATAAAATACACACAATATATTTTATGTACGACTGGACTCATTTGAGAGTTTACAAATATTTATTTTATGCGCAACTACAGCCAAATATGCACGGATTTCCCAAATACGCACGGATTTCTATTTTATGCGCACGAATATTTTTGACAGCTTTCTTACTCCATAGCTTAGCCTCCACGATGTGTTTGAACTCTTTTCGAAATTTTCGAAAAATCTATAGGAAAAATGAATGGGAAATTTATTTCTGGAACTGGAGCACGCTGTCACTGTTGAGCTCACTCAAGCCTCAAATGTAAGACAATCCAGTGAAAACACAATTCTATTTGCTAACTTACAACATACATGGGAACCGCTGGTGTACCATTAGTCTGATGAAACAGAGATGAGTTTTGCACTATAAGTGAATGCACTGTGCTGCATAGAAAGATTAAATGATTAAATGTGAAATCTGTGACTCACCTCTCTATCCAGTGTCTCCCGTAAGGCATGCCAGTCCTGCTTGAGCAGACCTTTGGCAAAGAGGGCCACTGAGTCGTGGTCCGATCTGTACTGATGGTCTGTCTGGTGGTCTGAGAGCACGTCCTATGCTAGCACCTGTAGAGCTGCTGCCTGCTCCATGTTAGCGGCTGAGTGTCTGAGTGAGTCCTTGGTTGTGTAGCACAGGCCACTGAGCAGCACTTCAAAATGACAACATTTAAATAATGCTTTGCTCAGAGAGAAATATTCTGAACAACTTTTTTTTTTTACACACAAATACATAGTAACCAGTGACATGGATTTCTTTGGTTACCTGACATCCAATCCAGTGACCATGTTTTGATTTTGAAGCTCATGCTGAAGCACACAATATATATATATATATATATATATATATATATATATATATATATATATGGCTAATTTTTGACACAAAATTTTGAATTTACATTTTCAGCACTTAAACAATTTGTCTATTTAACCTCCAGGTTAAAGTCTATCCAGATTCCTCATAGACTGTTTTGACTATATTTTTGTTGCATTGTTTCCAGCTGCCCTCTGTGCCGATGTAGAGGAGAGGCTAGTGAGTCACCTTTTGTCCCCAGATCGCTACAATAAACTGATCAGACCAGCTGTCAACACCAGCCAACAGGTCACCATCTACATCCAGGTGTCTCTGGCTCAGCTCATCAATGTGGTGAGTGTATACAATTTCAAATTAACCTGCCACAGCCCATAAGTGTAATCTGAAAATATGTTTTTTCCCCTCTTTTTTTAAGAATGAGAGAGAGCAAATCATGACTACAAACTGTTGGCTCTCACAGGTCACTTTTTATGCAGTCTTAAGCATCTCTATATAGACCTCGGGAACTACAGTAACATAAAAATGTATGTGTTCCTTTAAAGGTTTGGAATGACTATAGATTAATGTGGAATCCAGAAGAGTATGAAGGGATCAAAAAAATACGTCTCCCATCACAGCACATCTGGCTGCCTGACATTGTCCTTTACAACAAGTAAGTGTAATTATTGACAGTCTTGTAAATATAGAATTCTAATGCACAAAAGATGGTAATATAATGAATAATTTATGTTAAATGTTTATACAGAAACATATTTACAAGTTGAATCAGCATACCAATCTAGTTGCAGGCCTTGCTTTTCTTAAGTGTAAAGTCTGTGAGCAGCACTTGTCCATTTGCATTTCCCTGAAAAGTACATAAGGAAATTCAAAAGTCAGTCTGATGTTGTGCTTGATGTCTTTATAATATCTTAAGTCAGTGATAAATTCTGAAGCAAATATTGATTTTCATTCAGATTTTCTCTTTGTTCAGATCACCTTTCCTTGTTTTTGATTTGATAAATGATTATTTGAGACTAGAGGATGAACAGTATTTGGCTTCCTGTCAGCAGCACATTTATAGCATCCTCGTAGGCATTAATCTCATTGTTCAGGGGAAAGCTAAAGATCCCATTAAAAGCATGACAATGAAATCTTGAGAGGTGCAATGATATGAGCTGACCAGTGGTTCTATATGACTTCATGTCAGGTCAGTGGCCTGTAGCGGGGAAATACCAGAAGTTTCAGTAAGCAGGTGCAAGCACTGCATTTTTAATTAGTCTGCATATTCATACAGCCAAAAGCATTAGAGACCTGTGTGATGCTTGGATTCCTGACCTTCTTTATAATTGATAGACCTCTTATCTATAATGGATCAGCTGCAGTCCTGCTGAGAGGAGGAAAAGGTGGTCTCAGTAGGTTTAAGATGTGGTCCAACTTTATGCAGGGGACCAGAAATTTTACAAATATAACAAGTTACTAGTGCATGCTATTGTTCTGATGTGCTGCAGATTCCTGTGGCTCTCATTAGTTTTCATTACACTTTTAATGTTTTTCTGACATAAAACTTGCCCAGAATAACCTACCTGAGAATCTAGGGCATAGGTGAGACTAAAATAATAATAGATTGATAGTACCCTTACAGCTGAGGCACTTTATAGTAGTTCATTATTCATTCACTGCACTCTATATATTTTAATAGCTTCTTATTAATACTTATCTTTATTTGAGAATTTACTCATATCTCCATACTGAATCCATATATTTTAAACATTTAATGGCTTTATATGTCTGTGTTTTCAGTGCTGATGGAACCTACGAAGTGTCCTTCTATTCTAACGCTGTTGTCTCTAACAATGGGGAAGTGGCTTGGCTCCCTCCGGCCATCTACAAATCAGCTTGCAAGATTGAAGTGCGAGATTTCCCGTTTGACCAACAGAATTGCACTCTCAAGTTCCGCTCATGGACTTACGACCACACAGAAATTGACCTTATTTTGCTCAGTGACTATGCCAGCCGTGATGACTTCAAACCCAGTGGAGAGTGGGATATAGTTTCTCTGCCTGGACGCAAGAACGAAGACCCGGATGACATTCGCTATCTGGATATCACCTATGATTTTGTGATCAAGAGGAAACCATTGTTTTACACCATTAACTTGATAATCCCTTGTATCCTCATAACATCTTTGGCTATTTTGGTTTTCTACCTCCCATCGGACTGTGGCGAGAAAATGACTTTGTGTATCTCGGTTCTTCTTGCGCTCACTGTGTTCTTACTTCTGATCTCAAAAATAGTCCCACCCACATCGCTTGCAGTGCCTCTGATTGGGAAGTACCTCATGTTTACAATGGTTTTGGTCACATTCTCCATTGTCACCAGTGTGTGTGTGCTCAATGTCCACCACCGCTCACCCAGCACCCACACCATGCCTCCTTGGGTCAAACGCATTTTTCTACACCGCCTCCCTTCGTTCCTGTTCATGCGGAGACCTGGAAGTTCCAACATCCGAGAGAAATTCCGGAAAAAGCACCAGCACCGGTCCTATACAGATAAAAAGCTGGACAGAAGCTGCCCCTCTCCAATTGCAGGGTCTTCCTCATCATTTTATGTGAATGAGGAATCAGCCAAGCGCTACGGCTGGAAGGGTGGTCTGTCAGAGAACTCAGAGTTCAGAAAGAGATTGACCCTCAAGAGTAATATAGACGTGGAGGATGCTGTGGATGGAGTGAGGTACATTGCAGAAAAGATGAAGAGTGAGGATGATGATGAGGGGGTATGTATTTGACAGTAGTTCCATGATATAAGATGACATACACTGTAAAGTAGAAAGAACCAGTATCAATATGTGGTGGTGCATGAAATTCTGCAACTCCCTTGTTTGCCAACGTCACACACAACTCTTATTATTTAATTCATTAATTTGAATTAATCATTGCATTTACATAGCACCTCTCAAGACACCCAAAGTGCTTTACAAGGTATTATTCAATCACTCCACACTCTGTGGTGGTAAGCTACAGCTGCTCTGGAGCAGACTGACAAAAGTGAGGCTGCCAATTTGTGCCATTGACCCCTCCGACCACCACCCCGCACACTTTATTTTATTATTATCATTCCATCTTTTGAATGGGAAAATGTCTTTAAAATGTTGCCTGTAGCAGGATGCTTAAATCCATGAATACACATCTTAGCCTTTTGAGGTGCCTAAAATATGTGTGTATCCTGTAATAGCACTGATTTCTGCTCTTGATGCTCTGATTGAATGAATGTGAGAGTGACTGCATTATTTGGTGATAGATCATATTGGCTATGATAGAACCTCATGGGTCCTGACAGATTTGTGAAAATGTTTGTGTTTGGTGTGTTGTATTATGTGAGTAACTTGATATAAGTTTTAAATGTGTTTTTTTGTAGATCATTGAGGACTGGAAGTATGTTGCCATGGTAATTGACCGTCTCTTCTTGTGGATCTTCGTTCTGGTGTGTGTGATTGGGACCATGGGCCTCTTCATGCAGCCCCTATTTCAGAGTTACAACACTCCCATAGTCGAGGACATGGAGCAGAGCGGATCATAAGCTTTACCCTGGCGGTGACCCTGATGCTAACAGCCCTGCAGGCACTGAGCAAACACACACTAGTGCTATACTGTATGTTCGCCTCAAAACACTGTCTGTCTGGGACATTTTGCACTTTAGCCCCCGCCCTGTGCTACTGTTGTATCCAGCGTTAGACCCTTTTCTTTTGCAGTGCCACCACCCTGAGACAGAATTTTAAGAGAAACTGACTGCTCTAGTAAGGTAGTGTGCACTTCAATTGTCCCAAAGAATCAAATGGCCAAATCAGAATTATGTTTACTTTTTATAATTTTCTATAATTTAATTTAACATAAGGGGCATTTTGACTTTTTCAGTGATTTGCTCTCCACAGTATTAGCATGCATAAACAGTACACTGTGACTTGCTTTAATTGTAATTCCTTGTTTTGTTTTTTTTATTTTCAAAAATTTTATTGCTGGGCCTAATCTTGATCACTTCTGAAACCTCCTACTCTTAATAGTTTGCAAATATCAATGTCTGAATACTATTCTTTTCCAAATAGCACATGTGTATAAATACCTGAGAAAAGTGTCATTCAAAAATACTTTTGACTGATCCTAAGACTGAAGCCTACCATATTGTGTTTGGACTATAAAAACCTTACCATATATTACCTTCACTTTTACACAACCATTTACGGCACTTGTATAACAGACATTGAGTTAATAAAGTGTTCAAATGTTACTTCTTTCTATCCGCTGCCCCCTTGCTTCCTATCAACTGAATCTTTCTTGACCAAACATTGCTCTTCTATCAAAATTTTAAGTTCCATGCAGGGTTTTCCTGATTTGAGCAACACATATTTTGTTTGCATCACTACCTCAGCAGCTGAACCAACCCACTCTCCTCTTAAATGACCTCATAGAAAACTTTACACAGCAATAATATAGCTGAGACACAACAATAGTAACCACAGCAAATATTCAAGTAAACAATTTAAGCTGCTGCTCTTTGGGCTAATTTGATCCTTGTGGCTTTACTGCATTTTTTAAATTCATGTCACACCTTGAATATTATCACCAACAGTTTAATATTCAGTGATTTGTGCTGACAGAGAAGACTTGTGCCTGTTTTTGTGTGGATCAACCTAGTAATACCAATTATAATGTTGCCTATGCTTATTTTTGCATTTTGATTTAAACAATATAGTTTGTAATTTATAATGGTATGACATCACATGGACATAACAATAACTTGTGTATGACTTTCAACTACTGTATGTGTCTCTCAGGAGAGGACTTGCTTGTTTCCATTGCCACTGTGTGTTTTCTGAAACTTGAGCCAAGATTATAGTGTTCTAATGTACTCTCCTGTCCTGGCTGTGTCCAGCTAAAGTGTAATGTACTAATCCAGTCATCGTGATCACTGAGTGGATCGAGTGAACAGGTTTTCCTCTTGCTATAATGTGTGCGTGTGTGTTGTATATGACATTTGAAGGGAAGTGACTGTGATGGGACCTGATAACCTTATATCAATCAATAAAGAAAGCAACGTGTTTATAGTACTTTCTTTTTTAACATTAAACATTTCTTCCAGTACAAAATACATGTGAAATCTAAAATCATCCATTTCTAATTATCAATGATTATCTTGGGTCTACAGCCAATTCTCTGGCAGTGAAGCATGTGGTGTGTAGCAGAGTTCCAACTTTCAAGGATGAAATCTATGTATTTTTTAATGTTAAATGACAGTTATTAAATGTCTAAATTGTTTATGTTCAAGAAATTAATTCAAAAAGACAAAATAAAATTGAAAATCATGACTGACCAATATGAAGGGGTAACCTGATTTTTTTTTGTCGGTATTCCAGCACCGATAAAGCAGAGTCATAATCTCCCAGCAGTCACAGCTCAGATCAGTCTCTCTCACTGGGAAACGAGTGTACAGTAATCCTACAGATATACTGACAGCCATTAAATTGGGCCTGGGTTCAGTAATTATTGCTCGTCTTTGGACCCCTCTTGCTCTGTGAGTATGTGTGCCTCGTAAATTGCTTCTCGACATCTGCATCAATTTCAATTAGGAGAGTAGACACATGAGGCAGAGGGTGATGGGGAAGCACTAAACAAAGTAGGATTGGGAATTGTACTGCTCATATGAGACTATCACTTCCTTCGTTTAAGAAGTGCAGGATGTACTTCAGGAATTGTCAAAAGTGACCTTTTCTTTTAGTTTTAAAGCTAATTCAAACCACATTTACCGTTAGAGATGTATCATTGTACATGCTTAGAAGTCACTTTTTGAAACCCAACAATGTAAAAATATTTAAACCATATCATTTGTTAAAGTACACTTCTCCCAACTCATTAAGTCTGTGTGTCTGTGTGTACTGTATGTCTGTGTATGTTGTCCTCTTAAAAGTAGCATGACTTGGATTGTGTGTTAGTGTACTTGTGTAATGTGATATTGATGGGCCCACTGAAAGTTTTCAAAGTGAGTTTCTAATAACAGCAACGCACTGATGTAGTACAATCTATCTAAAATATAACATGGTTGTTTAAAAAGATCCTTTTGCCTAATCGAAACAAAACCCTATATAAACAAAAGCCATACTTAGGTTGCTTCACCCTTTTCACACACTGAAAAATAATATTCGATTTTCAGATTATAATATATTCTCTATACACACATGAACAACTGAAAGGTTATTTTTAACTGTATATTTTAATAATGTGTTTTGGAGCAGATTGTATTCATTCACAGTCTGCAGCTGTAGTGTGTGCTAGTGAACAGAGGTGGGTAACAAACAGCATGGTCAAACAGAATAAGAGGAGATATGATGGAGAGTGACAGACATGATGGAGTCTGGCTATAAATGTAAAGACAAAAGACTTCTGCAGTCTGTTGGGCAGCACTGGAGCAGACAGTAAACACCAGAGATCAATACACCAATGGATTCTTCTCTGCAAGACAAAGCACTACAAAACTAATTTGAAATCTGCATAAAAACAACACCACATGTGGTCTTTTCAATTGTGACAAACATAAGTTGGCTATTGTATGAAATCAAAACTAACATCTTTCTACAATAAAATAATGAACCAAAATAGATAAGACAGTTAAATTATAAATACAGCTCTGATTGATTATTATTCTTTTATAAAATCTATAATATTTAGTTGGGACGATAATGTATTATGAGCTTCCTGTCCTAGTTGTTGTCCTGTGTCTGTCCATTATCTTGGCCATGAGCGTCCCCTTTAGGATTTATAACTAACGGTCCTGCTTTGGGGGTCGATATTTATGAAGTAGGCCACATTGCCCCATTACAGGACGTGCAGCTGCTGTGCAATGCAGTCACCAGGCTGACGACTGCTGAGGGGGTGTTGAAACAAGAGCGAAAGGATACACAATAGGCGACAAGCTACGGATAAAAGAGCACTCAAGTGGGATCAGACATCGCAATGTTATGTCTATGTGGAGCGGTAGCTACTGTGTGCAAGGACACCTCTCGCTGTAGTAAAGAGCCATCTGCTGCACACTAGTGGCCATATGAGACATTACATCAAACCACTGAAGCATTTTAGGACTTTTGGACACTGGTATTTGCAGCCACGAGCACTGATCAGTATCAATCTGTAAAATATAATAGATAAAAAGTCAAGACATTAAATCTTCAACCTTACCAGTACTGCTTTTTCAGTTTAAAAAAGTTAAAAAGTTATATTGTGCATATTCTGAAACCAATTCCCAACAGATACCAGAAATTGGTATCTGAATATATAATGTTATCCAAATATGTTATTATTGCTTTCATATCAGTGACACTGCAAAAAAAAAAAAAGTGCCAGAAATATAAATGTTCAGGATCAACAGTGGTCAAGTCTTTTAGAAATGTTAGGCTACCCACTATTTCATTGATAACAGGTTAAAGAGACTAGACAACCTTTGAGACTCCACTCATTTACTGAAAGCAGCACTACATTCAAAAGAGACAGTACAGAGGGAATAATGGTGTTATTTCATACATAAGTAGCCATAACATTGTAAAGGCTGAAGCTTACAATCCAGATAATTGTGGGGAAGAAGCTTAATTATGTGCAAAGGGACTGGATCAGATTAATGTGGTTTGAACATTGTGAAGAGGCTTTAATTGGTCACTGGTGACAGCTTCTGCAAACCACAACATGACCAAGAAATTGTTGCAAAGAGGACATCACAGATAACAACGTGTGTGGTGAGACTGTTGAATGAAAATAAAAGGGAATTGAAAAATGTATTGAGGTTTCCAAGTGATGCTCGAGAAATTAAATGTCACAATGAGATGTAGGACCACAAAAAAAATCAGATTTCTTGGTTCTTGAAGATTTGCTTTTTGTTTTGAATGACATAAAGGCAGACAAGATTCATCTGATGCTATTTTGTATCAGACACTACCTCTTTAATTATACAAGTTATGGAGCAGACAGAGTGCAACTTAAACCGGTTGAATGTCTCATGTGTGACTGACAGGCAATTGGCTGAGACGGTGACCTGCACAAACCAAAGAGAAAGACTTGACATACTTCATTATAAATAGAAAGAGAGCAAGTATTTTGACCTCTCAAGTGAGACTGGAATTAGTAAACCATTTGGACATATTTTTATGTTCTGACAAAATAGTTTCATGTCTCTCTGACTATGTGCCCCTTGCCATTAGTCTCTCATGCGGTGTCATTTTAGAAACAAAGTAAAGAAGCTAAGAGACAAGTCTGGTGTTGTTCCAAAAAAAGATGTACATATTGAGTATTTCACCTTTCACTGATGTACTGCTCATTGCAGTTTCTTTCCTAAAACAATATAAGCCATGCTTGGACTTTTGTCATGGGAAATTACATTTTAGGGGCAGTAATGTGACAATAAAGTTCTACAAGACCAACCCAATTAAATAACCTCATACGCATTTTTAGCTTTGGCTCACTTTACAGTTCAGTCAGATTGAACAGAAAGTTCACTACCCTTTTATTTCAAAGCATTTCACTTCAGATGATATCTCACTCATTTTTCAAGATGGTTCCAAAATAAACAGTGTATAAATGCATTGATACATCTATATCCATATATCCAAGCTATGTCGGATGTGAGTGGTCAAAATAGACACATGTGACCTTCATGTTAAAAGTGTCCCTTATAGTGCATGTCAGTTTACTAGGTTAAATGTACAAATACATGGATAACATGGAATATGTTTGAGTGCATGCAGTGTCTCATGAAATATTAATGCAAAATCAGCAAAAAGCCTCCTCCATTTGGTCAACATACAGTGAATATCTATTCCTGCTTACTTGCAATATAAGTAAAAAAAAAAAACAAAAACATTTAAGTAAGACAAACAAAAGGGCAAACTTATATTGTATTTGCTCCTCTTAAAATGTATTTAAGCACAGTTTTTCGATCGGTTCACTGCATACTATGGTTAGCCAATTCATGCACTCTCACTTATCAGGCAGTGCTTCTGGGCTCTGGCTGTTACATTCTTTAACAGAATACTGCTGCTGCTAACGAGATGTCCGAGCCTTATCTGGCTAATTCACTGTAGGCTAAATGTAGTGAGAGTAAATAAATATTTAATCTAAATTACTGCACCAAGCAATTTTTTTGGTGAAACTCTGAAAAGGCCTTTTTGACCAACACATTCTTATTAATGTGTCTATGATTATAACTTTGTGTGTATTATAAGTCATAATCTATTTTATCGACATAAACATTTCCTCATACTTCAACATCGGCTAACACTTTAGTTTAATGGAAGAAATGAAAGCATTTGGAACTGTGTAATAATCTTCAAAACTTTCTCTGTCGTGCGTCATGGACGTGAGTCAGATCTGGGGGTCTCACCTCGGGTGAGTGAGTGGATGCCCGCGAGAGAGGAGCTAGGTGCGGGAGGAGGAGGGGGAGGGGAGGAGGCGGTGGATGTGGTGCGCGAGTGTCCATGGCAGAACGCAGCGCTGCTCCAACCTTTCCACGAGCGCAGACATGAACCTGTGATGCTACACGAGACAGCCTTGGCCTAGAGCGAGGATTAAAATCACTGACGTTGCTTATCACCTATAAAGTGCATCCTTGGTGGCAGCTGCACCGATGGATTTCACTAAAGTGTCGCGCGTCCTGCTGCTGGTCCTTCTCACAGCGCAAGGTAAGAATGAGATCGTGTGAAGTTTAGGAAAGATCGATGAAAGATGTTTTTGCCTTTTAGTTTAAACTTTAATATACTTAACCAATGAGGGAGATATAACATAGGCAAAGCAACTTATAACCTCCTCTCAAACATTTATCAAGTTGTTTTAAGAGTGCTCTAAGCCCGGCCGAGGCAGAACTCATCTCTAATCCTTTTTGAAATGCGACATGCAAATGCTTTTTCAGCTCCCCTCGCAAATTTGTACTAGTACTAAAATGGAACAAGTGGGTGTTATCTGTGCCAAAATACCAGGGCAAGCTTGACAGATGGGCATAGTCCATCGTGCAGGAAAATCCCAAACGGGTTTCTGTTTAGACGTTTAGTCAATTTGCATTACTGATTATCTGTGATTGGAACCCGAGATCTATAAACCAACCACATGCTTCACTGCTTACACACATGACATGACTGTCCAAATATGAATCAGTTAATGTCAGTAAGCAGCCCACGTGCACATCTGAGGTCAAAGGCTATAAATC